ACTGTGTAGTATCAAGCCTCCGTTACATTTTCTTTGCCACAAGGGTTTTATAACAACAGGTAATTCATTATTTTAATATCTATAGTTTTTTTTTACTCCTACAACGATATCCACATACATTTGAGTCTCTTTTTACTTTATCCATGACTCAAACACTTTCTGATCAAAATCAGACAATCAAGAATGTTTTAGTTTAACTACTGTCATATTTTTCTAGAGCTTTAGGTGTTTTGATGCTGTGAGACTTTGGTATTGTGACAGAAAAAGAGGAAGCATGCTGGCAGCAGTATCACAGAAAAACTCAAACGATATGTGACCCTGAAGGCTTCGGTCTGACTCAAATAGAAATCTTTCCAGTTCATCTGACAGTGTTTTGAAACACTCTTTCCTTTGGTGGAACTGAATTGCTGCTTTGTCCATGTGTGTAACAGACAAACCGTCAGTCACGTCACAAAGCCAGGTTCTCGGTGAGAGGCGGCTGGAGTTGAACATCTCTTTCAAGCTCTCTTTTTCATTCCTCACATAACAACTTGTGTCACTTTAAGTGCATATAAATGACGACAAAATCGTTTCTTCAAGGGTGCCGGTGTGCACTCTTATCCAAACTGACACTTTGGAAAGCAGAGTGAAAAGCTGGCCATCGTAGTGAAGGGGGAAGACTTTTGTTTAACAACTGAGATAATGACGCACGTTGTCAGGGAGTCTCTGTGGGAAGATAATCAAAAAGTCGTACACATGAAAAGTGACAAAAATAGTTGTACAAATAAGAGAACAAGAGAGAAATGGAACCCTGACTTTCATTCTTTTTTCCGTAAGCAGGTAAATGTCAGATCATTGGTTTCAGAGATGGTCGGAGACACAGATGCTCCTGATTCAACATCCCGAACGTGTGTGCATGTTTGTGGAGGGGTTTCCTCAGCTATCAGACACAAGGCCGGTTTTGAGTTCATTCAGAACTGCTACAAACTCTTGAATGATGAACGGAATGTATTCATGTTGCACTTCTCCAGTCTTTCCAGTCTTATCAAATACTTCTTTTACATCAAAATTAGGGTAGAGGAGATTGCATTCCTGTTTTTTTTCACCCAGTGAGTCATGTTCGACGTCACAAACATGCCAGACAGAGAAACTCCACTTTGCTTTTGTTGCTCGAAATGAAGAAAAAAATTGCTCTTGCACGTCCTTCCCTAAATTTAAATTAACAATAAGCACGTGCCGGACGGTTCAATGCAAAGGGGCAGCGTCAGTGTCGAGATTGAAGAAGAAATTAGTTTGTTCCCATTCAACGTTTCACACACACTCATGAGCAAATTGGGGTTCAGTGTCTGGCCCACTTCAGACTGGAGGAGCCAGGGATCGACCACCGACCTTCTGGTTGGTGGACGACCCTCTCTACTTGACAGCCTCCCACTGTCATCACTTGAAGTGTGACACCAACAGAGAGCGGGACAGGCAAAGTGACTTATTAGTACAAGACAGATAGATATAATGTGTTTACATTAGTTTAAGTGCAACGTTTGCCAAAGCAAAGTGAAAACTCCTGAACCAGAAATCATTCTGGAACCTGCGCACGTTGATGCTTTAAACCTCGTGTGTGATGTATGAGGTGAAAAGAGAGACAGAGATGAAGAGGAGAGCCCTGTCTCTACATGCAGGGCTGGTGGAAAAATGTCTCGCTTAATGGATTCCAGCTTTCTACGGCGCTCAGAACAGCCGAGACCAGCCAAGGGAATAAAATATGGCATCATTATTATTATACTGCAATTCTCAATTATCTTCTCTCTCCCTTTCTCCCCCTCTCTCTCACTTTCACTGTCTCTTTTCTTGCACACACACAATTGCTTTCCCCTTGAAACCTCTCATAGATAATAGAGATGTTCCGATACCATTTTTCCACTTCCTGATCCTGAGCACTGATCCAATACCAGTGCATTTTATAAAACAAAAAACGTATATAACGTATTTTAACATCTGTATGCTACCAACGCTGTATGGAAGTGATGATTGCTCACAAATACATGAAGAATCTGAAAAACATAGAACTTGTTTTATTATCTAGTTAATAGAATATAAATAAATACTCTGGTATTGGTGCGTTTCTAATCGACACTTGGGACGAGAAAGATTTAGGGACGAAAGCACAACATCAGTATTTACGAGCACTCACACTTTACACAGTTCGACGCGCACGTGCACGCTCTGAGCCATTTCAGTTCCGTCTGTACACGCCGACAGCCGGATATGTGCCTTGTAGATTAGCATTAGCAGACCCATCCTTTACACGGCGAATGGAAAGAGATGACAAACACACACTTTTTCCCCTCTTTCCAGTCGGATTGAGGTGGACGATAAAACAAAACAGAGATGAGGTGATAAATCACAGACGGCCTGTTCACTTCCTCGATCATGCGGAGACACGGTAAAAGTCAGAATGAATCTATCAGGCATAGCGTGGTTTCTGGTTTTAAGGAATGGATCTGTATCTGCAAGGCTCGTTCTTCAGTGTAGACTGCACGTAGCGCTTCCATTACTCACACGTCGCTCAGGTCAGCCCATACGGACTCTCACCATACGGACTCTCACCATGCAGAAGCCCCACTGCACTGTTATATGTGAATATCAGAGCGATATCCAATGTTATTCTTTTAATCAATAACCACCAACTTAAGAGCCTGAGCAGCAGCGCTCCCTGTCATCTCGGGGTTGTTTAAGACGACTACATCGCTTGATAAATGGCTCACAACATTCCGAGCCTTTGAGAATTTTTCGATAAGGCACCAAAGTTCCTCCTCGAAATATCTTTTGTTGGTGTTGTTGTGGTCTTTAGCAGCTGGGACGTGGCCAGCAGTCTCCTTATCTGCACTTAACTGAGGAGAGCGGGCTGAAAATCTGTCCTGAGGGCCAAGCTTTCAGCGCTAAGCCAGAGGATACGTTCCAGGGCTGTTAGCTTTAAACAGGGATGAAGTGGAAGGTAAATCTGCCAGAGGTCAGCTGACCTACCTTTTTTTTTGTCTGAAAAACTCAGCTGATGTGACACGTTCACAGAATTACAGATCACACCAAAGTGATTTATTTGGAAACACCTATGCACCTGCTTATATGTGCAATCATCCAATCAGGACATGAGATTCAGTTAATTATCACATGGAAAATCCGAATTGGGGAAAAAATTAGCTCCCATTGATTGTGACAGTAAGTAGTACGTAGACGGGCTGTTACTTCAGATCTCCTTTCACACAGAACAATTTTAATTAAGGTGCGAAAAACTAAAACCATCAAGTGAGCTGCAGTTCTGCAGACGGAGACGCCTTCTAGATGAGAGAATAGAGGAGGGAACGAGAAAAGACCGTCCAGGCTGCTCGGATCTGACTCGGATAACAACTCTTTCCTCCGTTTAAGCAGAAAAGCATCTCAAAGATGGAGGAGCCTCGGTTACTGACTGGACGTGGTCACTGCTGCGCTTCAATGAGCTTTTTGTCCGACACCACATCTCTGACTTTGAGCAGATGATGCTGCAGCAGCCAGAAACAAGCGGAGCTATTTGCACGGCTATTAGCTGTTTTCATGTGGGACGACATTTAAGTCTCTGAAGTTTGCATCAGCTTTTCTCACTTCAATGCTCCCAGTCATAACATCTCCTTTGCATATTTGTCACCCTGCCACGATATTAGCCAGGTCGGCTTCCATCTGACTGTAAAATAACACAAGTGATTTAATGACACCTGCAGCATTTCTCAACAAGTTTCCAGACTGCACCTGAATTTTACCCTGTGTCCTTTCAGTGCATCACCGAGATGAAGGCAGACCTGAGGCATGGGCTGAGGTGTGTGTGTGTGTTTATACACGACCACAGACCCTGTACCACCAACACAGCTTTTGCAGCTGGGCTGTTTGGACTTGACGGATGAATTGTGCCATATGTCCTGGGTGCATGTGTGTGTTTGAGTGTGTGTGTGTGTGCATGCGGCTGGGTGTCAGGAAGCTCAAATCAACAAACCATAAACAAGCTGACATCTTGACCCCATGTAAACCCCACATAACCCCCAAATCCCTGCGTCCACATCAGGCTGACAAACTGTATTGCTTTTGTTTAGGAATCAACTAGAGCGCATTCTACCACAGTCACCTTGAATTCAACCGAGCTCCATCAGATTGAACGCGCTCATAGACTCAGTCACCGGAATGTTTCTGATTTTTTTCATCGAGATCCAGAAATGATTCCCTGGGAAATTGGTGAAAATCAAAAAAAAAAATCCTGGATTTGCCTCCTGATCTTGACCAGACAGACAGACAGACAGAAAGACAGACAGAAAGACAGACAGACAGACAGACAGACAGACTGACAGACTGACAGACTGACAGACAGGGGTAAAAACTGTCTGGACCTTATCAGTAACACTGAAGCAATTCATATTCATCCAGAACGCTGCCCACGCTTCACATCCTTGATTTGATTTATGTGTGTTCCACTTTTCCAAACCTGCAGGTCGCTATGTGTTGGCATCTGTGTGCGTCTGTGCATGTGCATGCATGTGCTCACTCTTATTTTCACTGGAAACTCCTGAGCAATTAGCTGCCAAGTGGCTTCCCCTCACTATCTCCTGTTGTGTAATTTAAAGGAAGCAGCAGCAGCAGTAAAGTCGTGCAGGGCCTCATTAACTTCAACCTACGCTGAGCCACAGTCACTCCCTGACAACAGAGCGGGGCTGCAGGCTTACTGACACACACACACACACACACACACACACACACACACACACACACACACACACACAGGAAACAGTGGCAAAATAAACAACAGTAGGAACACGTGATG